CCAATTTACCTAAAGTCATGACTCATGTTAACACTTTACAAGAGAGACCTCACACATGTCACCTTGAGGCATCAACACACCTGTACAACATTGTAAACAAGCTTGTAAACTAGGCCTAAACATATTTTTGGGTTGATAATTATAATAAATGTTGTAACACACTTTAGCTTGTACATGTAACATTTGCTACGATGTTCTGAAAAATTGATAAATATGCTAAATATGCTATTACACTGTATATTTGCATTTTATTTGGAATGTAATGGGGAAGAAAAATCTGTCATATGGTGACATTTCATATCCAATTTCAAACCCACTTTTATAGTTCGCACTTTCTGCTGTGCCATTTAAAGTTATAGCACCAGACTCATGTCATAAAAGCCCAGTTTACTGTTTCCCTGAACAACAACACCAACATTAAACTAAAAGTCTTCAAGCTAAAAATAGAAAACATGACATAATCAAAAACAGAAGAAAGGCTCACCTGACATTGGCAGACGGCCTTACCAGTTTGTTTGGCATGCTAATCTGATGCAGGAATCTTGATTGTGTGTTGGCATTGTTTCAGGAGCTGTGTGGTGAGGGGCACAATTACGTTGGACTCTTATCTGTGTGAATAGCAGGCCTGTTGGAGCAGCCAGGAGCCCTAATGACAGATGGATGTATGTTGGGATGGTCACAGAGAGGCCAGAGCCAGAGAGACAGCTCTGTGCTAATCTGCACTGCAGAGGTGAAACTGGGTTATGGTTTCAAAAGCTGCTAATGACTTCATTATAACAGAGCAAGATGGGAAAAATCATTAATCTGTTTACAAATTATTTACTTATGTATTAACACTTTACTAAAGAAAAAAACAAGATATTTTCAAACAGAAGGATTTGACAGAACACTGTTATTCATCCCCCAGATGGACAAACTTACATAAGCTACATACAAACATAAGTATAAAACAATTATACCAGTGTCAAACTGATGTCTTGTCTGAAATATCAGTTTACAAACACGAGCATTTATTACGAATGTTTCCTTGTTTCGTTTTGGGGCACTGAAAAGCCTAATATGTTATATGGGGAATGAGAAGATAAAATCCAAACATAAAACAGATGTTATGACATGTCATTTTATATTAGCTTTGTGTGAATGTGGATCATAATATTCTTTAAACAAACATTATAACCCTTGTATAACCTATAGGGAATCTGTAATATTATATCTCAATGCTTTAATTTGTTACAACAAACTAGTCTATGAATGTAGTGCTGCCAGACATTTTTTCTCACAAAGACTGATTGACTCTTGTATAATTGTTTTATAGTTACATCTATAAACCTCAATCTGGATGACTAAGAGTGACTTCATTACGCAGCACAGAGAATTAGTATCGCTTAAACAACAGCTCGCTGAGGATTTGAATAATTAAATAAGAGGAGATTTTGTGTCTATCTTTAACAGATGTTTTGGAATCTTCTCAAAAGACTTTAATCAACACAATCTGATGCACTGGTACTCCTCCACCTTCACTCAGTACATTCTCGTACACACACATGCTGCACCCTTTGTGTGTTTCTATAGAGCTTTTAAAACAGAGCTGAATGTATGACTATAAAGGGGAGATGTACCAGGTGTGTACAAGAAGCCCTGTAATTACCCACGATGCATATAGCACATATACAAAGCATTAGCAATTTAGCATATATCTTTTCAGTGCACTTGCACCACCTTGGCTCCCAGATCATAACAAGTGTGACCTCTGTTAGCAGAGATAGGTTAAATGATACGTTCTATGCCTATGTTTAAGGTAGGATTGTCTTTCATCTATGGTTGGGCCTCTGCCAGGAAAAGATTCCCTCTAATGCTGCGAGCTATAGGCCCAAACATGTTTATTTATTTTTACAATTCAAAAGAGGTTTCCCCCCACCTATTCCCCCCATATCACACTCAGGTCTGTTATTAACTTTATGGGATTTTCCGTGGAATTCTTTCGTAATATGGGTGATTTGGCTGTGCAATAGGGAAAGGTTTGTGGGTAGCTCTTACTTGTAAAGCACACTCATTTCCTCGGTAAAATATTGTGACCTAAAAAACATCTGGGCAATTACATAGTGACTAACACTGTGCAATGAAATGTTGCTGCAATTTACTAATAATATTTAATAAACAAGAAATGTGACATCTTACCATCAAACATTTTACTAATTTGTTCAAGAGGGAAATTATTATTATATCTATTATGTCCCAGTGCTCATGCCAGACTCACATAATCACTCACATAATCACTGCTGAATTGCTATTCAGATTTGTCAATTAGAGTTCACAATAGAAATTACACATTAAAATGTGTTTCAAACATCAAACTCTTCCAGGTTTATGACTCTGAAACATTTGCATTTAAAATAACATAATATAGGGTTGTTAAGGATTGGACAAGATCTTCCAAGATGAAATTGCCACAAGATTGTGCAAATGATGTGTTTATATTTGCTTGTGAACAGGAGTTAACTGCTGGTGAGTTATGTCTACGATGATAGTAAAAATAGAAAGTAAAATGAATAAAAAATTGGGAACTGAACATAATTTATTATTTATTATGTCAATATCTCATGTCTTGTCTTGTGGGAAATGTCTCATCCTTTTCCAAGATTTTATGATAGATTTTAAAGTGAAAGAACATTTGCATATTTTGGAAGATTTGTTGCGCAAGTTAGTGACTGTAACTGATTGTCCCATAGACAGCATGTCCCAACCTGTCCTCTATGGCATCACAACATACTTAGTATTTTCCAGTTAGTATTTCCCAGTGACCACTTTTACCCTGAGTAGGGCATTAAAGCATGTGGTCAGAAGAGAGCAAGGCCACGCTCCCATTAGAAACGTAAAGCGTCCTGTATGACATTTTACTCGTGACATTATGTGAGTTGCTTTTATAGCACATTTATACATAATCATTATCAGTATACAATGTAGTTGTACTACTCCTTCCTCCATCTGAGCCTGTGCACCAGAAGGGTTTGCCTGGCCCCACATGTGTAAGAGGATCTCCCCCTACTCAGCCGACAGTGAGGATCTGACCCAACACACGCACGCACAAAGCAAAAACAATGGAAAGAGGAGTCACACCACGTTGACCAGAGCCTGCAGAACAGCTTGAGTTCATCCTCTCATGTAATATAAACACACATCTGACCACTAGCTCTTTCTCTGCCTTGAAGAATATGCCAGGACCTTAATATTATAAGTTAGCTTTTTTGATGGTCTGCATATTTTCTGGCTTTGAATAAGTCACTATATATGGGTACTGTGTATATATAACAATGCAACTCTCCTTTTTTACATATAGTTGTTACTAACTGAGCACAAACACAAATGATTTGAATGGGGCTTTGCATTTTAGGTGCAGTCAGCAAATTGAAGCCACAGTTTACCATTTCAGGTGAAGTATTAAACCGGTAAATATTATGTTCAGTGTCATAACTGGATAATCAAATTCAGACAAAATCATAAAATAAATTTTGAAATTATACTTTAACTGTATGACTTTGGAGGACATTGGACAGTTCATTGACCACATTATGAAACGTTGACAGTCAGTAGTTAATATTAAACACAATGTACACTGGAGGCTTGTGCATGCGTCACTTTGTAGAGTGTTTGCTCTTTGATCTGCATTTGTGTTTTATTACAACATAGTGAAATTAAATTTAGATCCATTTGAGTAAAAATACAAACAAAAAAAGTATTCACAGTCAACTTGAATGGATAGCAACTCTACCTGTTAATTGAGGCTCCCTAATAGAAGAATATATTCTTTTTTTTACTGTTTGTTGCTTTTATGGTACTTTTTTATGGGTAGCAGTTTATCTTTATTTACCTTTAAATTACCTATAAAGAACTTGTATCTTGCCATTTCCAGACTGTACTATTTGCAGGGTCTCTTCTGCTACTGCTAACACACTCCATCTTGCAGGTTTCAGTTGTGGCTAACAGTGTTTGCACTGCTTTATGGCTCTCTGTTTGTTTTCCTCTTCAGTGGAGCTCAGTACGTCTTGGGCCCAACACCACTCCAACTACATTCAGGGTCCCACCACCAGCCTCAGGGGCCCACCCACAATATCACAGAGAGCCGAAAACACACAGTTCAGGTGTGCAGACCGCCTTTGAGAAACACAAGCATATCCTGAGCAATTAGTTTGGCTCATTCTCAGATAGTCGGCACTACTCAAGACAATTTGTCAACTCTCCCCTTAAGCACATTGTTAAATTAAATCATACAGCAGTAGATAGATAGATAGGTGTGACTATTGCTATTGGAACTTCTTCAACCATCAAACCCAGTAATTTTCTTGTGAATTTCTACAGGGTGAATTCCAGCTTGCAGTAATTCATCTCTAAACTAATAAACAAAGAGAAAAAGGTCACAGAGCAGGAGAGCAAGTAATCATTTCATCTTGATGATTATGGTTCCAAAGGTAGAGTTATTTTGGCTACAGTTGCAAAGATTTGGAACCAGTCTTTGGGGCCAATTTTTATTCATAAAGAATTAGGCTCCCAATATTTGTGGTGTAACTTTAGTAGGCATAGTGAAAATGTAGCAGTAAGCTTGTAAAAATGCCAAATAAATGTAATGTAATGTAATTAGCCTGTTTATGTGAAATCAGGCTCCAGGAGACATGGGGCCCAGGCCTCTTAGACCAGCCAAATGTCAAATCTTCTCTCAGATAGGCCTACATTTGTGTACGTATTTAGGTACATAGCCCTATATGTTTACAATTTTATGGAGTAGGCCTACTACTACAGACAGTTCTGAGTCAATCTAAATGATATTTTTTAAGTTGTAGCCTACTCTTGAAAAAGGACAGCTAAATATTGCTTGGTGACTATAAATCCGATCTCAGAATGGACGTTTCACAAAGCCTAAAAATTTGGCTTATTATTAGGTCCTTGGGAGCCTGAGCGGTGTAGGGGGTGGATCACATGAGGCCTAGGGGGATGGGCACACTTTGAGAGGCTGCTGTGGCTTTAAGAGTTTACTACAATCAGCGCACTCACTCCACACACAACAGAAAAAAGTTTGGAGGCCAAGCGAGCTGTGGGATACCAACGGATCGGAAGTGACGGGACAACATAAACCGAAAGAAGGGGCAAAGTTAAGACGGGATATCAACTCTAGGACACAAAACAGAATGAGAATCAACGTGCTCTCCACAGGCAGAGCGCGGAGAGTGAAAGGCGCCCGGACAAGCGCTCTCTGAAGTCAGGGGACTCAGATTTGGTATGAACTATGAAAGAAAAGACTTTATGGTTTACCTCGGAGGGCAGTTAGGGGATATGAGCGCTTATGTGTGGACTTGGGGTCGTGTTTTTCCGCTGTGGGGTCCCGCGTTGAATCTTTGGGGATGTTTGGAGTCGTTCGGAAACTGACGCGACTCTTCGCCATAGTGCTGTTGCTCTCTTCGGCGGTGGTGGTAGTGGTCCCTGGCTCAGAGTTGAGGGTTCGGGTCCGGCTGGCAGACGGGCTGATCACCGAGGAGGTCCTAGAAGCGGACAGCGAGAGGGACTCCATATCACTCGAGTTCAAGCAGGGAGACGGGACGCTTGTTACGTTTGTGGCAGACTTCAAGCAGGTGAGTTCCTGTGATGTTTAGTCCGGGAAAGTAGATTCTGACGCAAATGAAGCACTGTGAAATTATCGAGCCATCCTAAACCGCTTTTACCGCTTTGCAAATGTTGCGCAAGGACTGAGGTTGATTTGCTGAAGGTAAGAAAGAAATTAAACTTAGGTTACTCAGTGTTAGGTCATGTTATCTTAGACTATTTATATGACCAGGTATCCTACTCAAAGTAATTTCACTGACCCATGATGGTAAAAATCATGTTTCTCTTGCCCAGTGGATATAGGTCACAAACAAGGCTTTAGGCCAGTCCCAAGCCTCAGAAATGAAGTTTGCATCACAAGAAGTCAGTTAAATATAAATTATATTAGATAATAACATTGATTTTATAATATGTGGTCACTATGGGACACACCTGGAATTAGCAAGTCAAATAAAACTAATAACTAATACAAATATGCTATGCCATCTCTTACAATTTTGTCATCAGTCTAACTGACTACCAATTTGTCTCTACTAATAGACTAGTTCCTCCCTGACACATTAATTCCCATATCACACAGTCTCTCAGAGCCCTTTATTCTGCCCTACAGGACACATGTATCTATCTTTTACCATGTGTGTGCCAGTGTCATGGAGGTCAAGACAGCTGCACATATCTCTGTCCACAGAACCCACAGCTTATGGTCCAACCAGACACTCCATAGCCTGCCAGTTTTAGCATTTTTCTAAAAGTAGACTACCAGGCTTCCTTTCGACTCTGTCACTTTAATGCTTTTACTGAAATATGAGACAATTTTCTACTTTAGCATCTACTCAAGGCTGATAAGCAACTGTACTGTATCTAAGGGAGTGAGGGGAGGGACCCAGCGGTGCACACAGCAAAGGCATGTGGCTGTGATGGTTGCTGTCATACAGAAGCTGACAGCCTGACGAGATGTGGCGGGGGGAGATTTACCAGGATTAAGTGGGCATGTCTGACCTTTTTGATCCGCACGTCTGCCCTACTAACCAAAACAGCTAATTTGGAGTTGAAAGAGGAGAAGCCGTCAACCCCAATCACTGGTGACATCTCATAATAAAGAATCATACACTGAGATTGGAGGCAGGGGGCAGTGACCAGTAGTGTAGAGTACAGGGAAGTAGCACTTTCACATGCAGTATATTTTGGTTTATTGCAACCTACTACTTTTTTGTTCTACTTAAGTAGGTTCACTTTCAACTTCTCTTCTACTGTAAGCCAGTAATGTTTGAGAAAGGACTTCTTTGTTTTGAAACATAATTTTAGAAAGAGGCTTGGTTTAAGCTACCTATTTACTGTGTATTTTTTCAAGTTTTGTAATAGATTTGTAATTAATTGAGAATCCCTAAATGTAAAGCAGGCTGTTTTTGAATTGCGGTACTTTTTTTGTTTACTTTCTCTGAGAATTCTGCTTCTATCTCCCTCTCCCCTTCACAGCCCATTATGTGTGACGCATCCAAATGCACATGTGGCAAAGTTTATATGAACACAACCAAGCGAAGCTCTCAGATCACTTAACTTTTCCGCTGCCTGATTTATCTGTTCCACTCATAGGTCTGCTTCCCCCTACTTTTCACTCCCCCTGCCTCCCTCTCTCCTGCTCTCCCCACTCAAAGCTTTCTTCCTCCATGTGGTTCTTATTCAGCTCTTGTTGCAGTATCACAGGGATTTCTGGAAAGTTGGATGAGCTGTCACTTCAGCCGCCATGAAATGTACAGTCCGGATGAACGCAAGGGGACAGGAAAATGTTTTAACAGGGCAGCACACTGGGGACTTGATGATGATGAGGTGCACATCATTCAGGGTGCTTTTGAACAGCCAGGCGGTAAAAGACACAGTAGTGATTGATAGAGTATGAGATTCATAATTTATTTTACAGGTGTTCTGGCTATATGAAAAGTTATGGTTGATTTGCCAATGATGATATTTATCTTTGGCAGAGTAGTTGAGCTGAACTGCAGGATGTGAGCTGGAGGTTTAGTCAGTTGTAATATGATTCCCATAGAGGCATAATTTTTTGTTTACCGTGTAATTTCGCACCATACAGGAATCAGAAAATCAATTAATAGTGGTACTAAATCCTGGTACAAACATTTGTAAATGTTCAAAATGTGCTCCAAAATGTATGACACTTGACTTTTACCTCCACAGCCTGCAACCTAGTATGAACGAAATGTGTAAAGATGATGTGCAGCACAAGACATGTGCTTCTTGTTGACATCAGATCTTGCCTGTCTCTTTGTTGTATATTGCACATAAAATATTTACATCTTAAATCAGCATTTACAAAGTTCCTGACTTTGGACTAAAAGTAAAGTGCACTTTTAATTCATGTCCTCATGTTCAGTGCTGACAGATGTGGAGATTGATTAAGGCCAATTCAGTTTTTACTGCCTTAATATCTAACTGAAGACTTTGATCTGTGCAAGAATGTTATGTAAGTGACCTTTAAAGGATTTCATGTAAAGATTTTGAGGTTTGTATTTTTATGTTCCAAATTCAACATTACCGGTAAATCTTTGTTCTCATTGTGGGAAGGACTATGTTGACTTCTTATTGTCCAAGTAGAGGGAAAACGGTAGAGCCCTATCACATTAAATGGCTTGGGAATAGTAACCACAGTATGAATAGATGTCTCAAGTTTTATAAATTCTCATAATTTTGTTTAGTTTTAAAACAGATTTGGTTTCAGTCAGGGGCCGTTTTGCCTAGAGGATAATTGACTCTAGTGTATATCCCAATTGTCTTCAAAGCACAGTAGGTTTATGGATACGCCCAACTGTAAACCTGCTCTGGGAATGAGCAGCTCCACACACACCCTTGTGCGCAATGTAGAAAACAAAGTCAAAGTTGAGGTAGGAAGGCACGCCATCTATGTTACCTAATCTGTAATATTCATTTATAATCAGAATTTTTGGATGGATTCTGAGGATTTTCCAGGACATGGACAATGAATAAATCTTATAACTGCTGAGACTATTTTATATACTCCTGGTAAAGCTATCAAGAATTTTATTTGATCTTAAATGAGAACCTAATGTTGGCTGCATAACATTTGCACCAATATTTTCTGAGGCACAGTCCACCTTGTCACAACTTGTGAAGTGGTTTTACCGGTACATTTTGTAGTCAGTACATTTTCCCACCTTTTTATCATAGATTTAGACTAAGATAAACTTTAATGATCCACACGGGAAATTACATTCTCTAAAAAGATGACCTTCCTCTAAAATATAATTTTCTTTGTTAATTACTGAACTATATTTTACGTTATGAATGTTAAGAGTCACCTCTGGTCTATTGGCCAGCATCAGGATCAAGGACCAAGGCCAATCGAATCCATTATAGTAGTTTTTAATTGATCAACTCAGAAGAACCTATTTCTGATACAGTCTTTGAAGTCTCTTCAAAAGCCACCTTTGTCCCTGTGCTTTTAAAGATTCTAAAGTCATCCTACGTGGCCTTGTAGTGGCTCTTGTAGGCCAGAGTGGGGCCCCTTTGCCCTCTCGTTCCCCCCTGATTCCCCCTTGCCCCTGTTGATGTCTTTATCCATTCTCCTCCTCTCTACAGCAGGCCAGATGTCCGTCTCTAACACCCCGATAAAAAGAGAACTTCCTATTCCCACAGTCAGCCATGCACAACTAAACATCAGCAACTGGACAAGAGGACTGTTATTGTGGTTTTACTCTGCGTAGCTGTTATCATTTTGAAATGTGAAGCAGTATAATTGTAGAGCGCTTTTGTTTGCCATTTCATTATCCAGTCTACTCTTTATCTTGTCCACAGTTTAACACCTTTAAATATTTGGTCCTCACAAAACAAGCTTTGTTCTATCAACAGCATTCCAAATTGCATGAAAGATTGTAATTTAAAGTTTAAGTTTAACTTAAGCAAAATCAAGAAACCCTTACAGACCAAGCTAAACTTTGTGGAGGTTTATTGATTGACTTGCTGGTGATGTCAGTTAATTTGGTGCACATGCTTATGTTAGTATTGTATGGGGTGACGTGACCATATCCGAAGAAATAAACATCAGACATCTTTTGTAGTTTCAGTTCAGTTTTATTTTAGATTGGTCTGTTCCTATAGCAGAAGTTTGTGTTTCCAGGGAAAGCGGATATGAATACTATGGTGGTGTGGTAGTCTAAATTAGACTTATTTAGTGCACCTTATCTATCAGCTTCATTTCCTTTGCTGTTTGCACTCTGTCGGCATTTTGCTCATTTCCTCTTCGCTGCTGTCTCTATAAACATGAAATCGATGCAGACCTGTTTTCTGTGCTACTTTAATTTAATTGCATATTTTGCCTAAGTTGGAGAAGTTCAATCATCAGGCTGACATTGTTATAACTAGCCCCTCTTGTTTTCATTGTGCATTCACTGTCACTGTTTACTAATTGGTTTGGTCTTTGGACAGCCAGGTGTGACTATAGCCCCAAATGTGACTCCACATTCCTGTCTTCAGAGCCTCTGTAATTAGCTGCAACTCAAGCATTTCTCAGCACACAGGCTTTGCTTCCACTCCTTTTGTGTGTTATTCTTTAGCCTTCGAACCCTCTCTCCCTCTGTCTCCCCTGATCTTTAATCCAGGCTACACCTGTGCTTTTGTCTTGTGCAACCAGGCAAATAACCCTGAATATGTGTAGCAATATAGAAGAGGACTCAAAGTAGCAAATACATTTCTTCTTTTTGATAAATTTGCAGTTTGTCTGACTAAATTTCATATTTTTCCTGTTTGTAACACATGGAATACTATGTGATCTGATGGCCATGGTGTGTATTGCTCCTCAGTATTAAAATAGTGGTTTATCAGTAGACCGGGACTGATAGTGTCTAGCACCCAGAATAGCCACAAGTGTTTTCTTTGTTTACATTAGGATACCTTGAAGCAGACTGCAGACAGTTTCATAAAAAACAAAGTACCTTATTTGATGTTTATCTGTGCCTTTATATTAGACAGCCTATTAAAATGGGTTAGACTAGACTAGCTCAACAGCCTTAAGACTACTCACTGTAAATGGTACCCTTTTAAGCACTTGAAAGGGCTTTTGTGCACCTCCTTAAATAATGTGGCTCACCAAAAGTTGCTTGTGAAATACTCTGTGCTGTTAAACAAGTCAGGAGTATGACCCTTTAGTTGGGCTATATGAATGCAAGCTTGTGTTAGGCCAATGCTAGTTTGTGTAGTTTATGTTTAAAGGTACCAGGACCTGCTTGTTGCGGAGCGATGCTGAGGAATCTGTACTTGTGTGGATTATTTATAGCCATGCTGACATTTACACTAGACTGCTGTGGAAAACTCAAGGCTACACTTTGATTATGGTATTACAAGCCAGGGAAATGTCACTCCTTCAACTCTTAATGTCCATACCTGTTATTTTCTGTGACTATGGGTTTGCAGACCGTTAATCTTGTACATGTTTGTGGTAATGTACTTTTAGACCTTGCTTGATTTAGGCTTCACTTAAATTGTAAATCCAGTACAGAATCTGTGCAGTATTGATCTCATTCTCTTATTTTATATTACAAACAAACTTCCCATACTTTTTAATTTAATACTGGTGAATTAATTCAGTTATTTTTTATTTATTACAGGCACACTTTATAGTTTGGATGCAATATAAAAGTTAAATATGCAATAACATATATAGTTACACTAAATAATCAGCCTTGGGTAATAGTGGCCTCAATAAGGTGTTCAAATAATTACATTAAATTATATTTTATATTTGTCTTCTCTTTATTAAATTACTTGCACGAGTTCAGGAAAGTGATCAGATCTTTTTCAACAAACAAATAATAATAATCTAAAATAATAAATGTAATGCCTCCAATATTAGAGATAATGTCAATGTTTATAGTCTGCAGCACCCAGTGCACTGAATATAAACATTGGCCCATGTCGGTGGCTGATGCATTATACTTTAAGCAGAGTAGATTAAACATGTATTCATAAATCCATGAAGTGATCTGCAATTTAGTGAAGTCATCTGAGCCAGTTTAATGCACTGATTGCCCTTTAAGGTCGAATCCACAGAAGAGAAGTTTAGACAATCATTAATCTTAGAACATAATGACACTGCTGCAAAAGCAGAACCTGTGGCATTAAGTCAGCCCCAAAATGGTTGAAAGTTGGTGGAGCTGCCCGGCTTCTCTGTAATTACCCCTTAGAGCCTTGGGGCAAACCCATGTGGCCTACACAAATGCTTTCCTCGTCCTTTCTTTACATACAAAGTGTATACATAGTATCTTAGCATAGAGCCATGTGTCTGCTGTATGGGAGGTCTTGGAGCCGCAGCACTGCATCTCGGAACATTTGAACTCCAACTGTACATTTGCATATTTTTATTCTAACTGCCTGCTTTGCTTGCATTTTTTCCATAATCCTACTAGTATACAGTTGTTAACATACTGATAATATACTGACTATATGACTTTTGAGAACTTTGAGTTTAAATTGTAAACTTTTAACTCGCATAAGCAAAATTCAAACCTCCCTGTCTGTTTTGCCTGTTGTGTCAAAACAATGGGGACACATTCTCAAACTTCAGTATAAAGTGCATTTTTTTATTGTCCAGTCCATCTGTATGCTTACAACTCCATGTGTAGAACTAATATCAATATTTGCTCAGTAATTTGCTTTCCAAAGGTCAAACACTGTTGCGCGATTGTCTTGTGTAATAACCATGCTTGTACTGTATGCCTGCCAGAAACCCCCTTTCACAGACAAAAGTGGCATTCAGGATGGGGCACAGTGGTCGCTCAAAGTGCTTCTATAAAGATCTGCACAGCGTAAACACTCAGGAGGCAGGTCATATGGCTCTCTTGCCTCTTTTGTACACAGGAACTGGGGGCTCGGTGGGGTTATCTCCATACTGTTTATATATGCTACAGAGTGAGTGCCCCTCTGGCTTCGGATATCTATGTGAAAAGCGGAGGAGGGGTATTTGTGTGAACTCAAGCCCTATCCAAAAATGGGGGGTGGGTGCCTGATGAATAAAAAGACAGGTCTCTACTACTTCACTCACACAGCTGCTGGAGGGTTCCCATCATGCTTTGCTCTGTGCACAATAACACCCTCATCGTTTACAGCTTTTGGCTTTGCTGCTCACTCCCTCACATACTTGCCAAATCCAACAAGTGCCTCTTTTTTTCAAATTGTCAACTATCATAGTTTCCAGCAACCACAATTCCACATATCTGAATGTGGTAAGCTGTATTTCACTTTGACAGCATGTGAACTCTGAAAATGTTTGTGGAAAAAAGAACAGGTTTAATTGGACAACATAAAAGGAGCAACACTACTCAGACAATATGAAATGTCAACAAAATGTCAGATGAGGATGCACACAAGCCCCATTTGGCTTTAAAAGAATTGCTGTTTAAACAACTTTGACATTTGTTGAATTACTTAAATGAGTGTCTGCTTGCATCAGATTTCAACCTGGAGGAGTATTTCTATGAAGTGGTTTATAACCCAGATTGACTCTCTTGTCCTCTTTGACTGTTTTCAACCATTTTTCCTTTTTTGCATTGCAGGATGTAAAGATTTTCCGTGCTCTGATCCTTGGCGAACTTGAGAGAGGACAGAACCAGTATCAGGCTCTGTGCTTTGTTACCCGACTCAACCGTAACGAGATCATCCCCAGTGAGTCCATGGCCCGTCTGAGACAGGTACAAAGTAAAAGCTATGCAGAAATATGTATATGTATATTTTGATTTGTATTTACTTGAGAAACTTTTGCTTGTAGAAAAATCCTCAAGCAATCCGTCTGGCAGAGGAGCGGAGGGGACTCGAGCAACTTACAATGAGTGCAGCAGTGAATCTGAGTCGAGCCTGGCAACTGAGCTCACACATACACAACATGTGCAGCGAGGCCCGGGAAGCCATTTATACCAGGGAAACAGATGTTAAATACTGGTTGGAAAAAGGTCAGTGAGGCATTTTGTAAACCTTCCGTCCACCAAATCTTTTTTCCCCTCAAATAAACTGTAAACAGTGCAACAGATGTTGAGATTGAAATGCTGTACTTTTGTGATTTTAAAAAGTCTCTCCAGTTTGTTTCCCTAAAATATTGCCCAATGGCCTGCATGTTTTTATGTAAACATCTTTTTGTTGCATCATCACAACTCTACGTTATCAGGTTAAAACTTATAAAATAATATCCCAGTTTGAACACACTGTTTTCTCCTATCAATCTCTTATCCAGTGTATTCAGTTTATCGTATTTTTTAAACTGGCAGAATTTCGCTTGTATGTACTATGAATCTCATATTATATGGACTCTACTTTTCTTAGTAGTATATAAATCTTATAACTATATACATTATTTACCCAGTATCTTTATTTCATGGATGCCAAAATTATACCCAGTATAGGGAAAATCTATATAGCAGTACTTTTGTCCATTGACAGCACAGTTATAGTGAAAACAATGTGGATGGTCACGGTTCAGTGAGCTCCCCACACCATTATCAGTGCAGGAAATCGCACAAGCATCTTCTTTGCATAACAAAGAATTTCCTTTAAGACACAATCTTTGTCCTTTTAGTGTTTTTCTATGCCCATTCCATTTCAGTTCATTACTAAGTTCACCACTTTGTAAACACCTTTGTTTTAGAAAGAGTTTTTCTGTTTTGTGTATTTATATTTAGGAGTGGATGGTTCCATGTTTGAAGTATTACCCCAGACAACAGAGTTGCCCAGCTTGCAACCCTGCCACTCTGCTAAAGACTTGTGGCAGCCGTGTCTGTGCACTTACAACCTGCGTCTGGAGTGGTATCCCTGTTTACTGAAGTATTGCCGGAGCCGGGACTCAGCAGGGAAGGGCTCCTCCTACAAGTGTGGCATCAAGAGCTGCAGCAAGGGCTACCATTTTACTTACTTTGTTCCTCAAAAACAGCTTTGTCTCTGGGATGAGGAAACCTAGCATTTCTACTGTGCTTGCAAACTTGCAAACAAATAAAATTTTGTTCCCATCCAGGACTCTGTCTATAAATGAGACTTAATACCTGTTTCTGCTTGGAAGAGTTGAGATTCACAAGCATCTAAAACTGCAATGGTCCAAGATCAAGCCCGATTAAAAAAAAATATATCGACTGTTCAGTAGCCTTGGAAAAGAGCCTCATCACTTTGGTGACTTTGGTGGGAATTTTTTGGGAGACTGTATGGATCAGGTGGTGGATCATAATGATGATGTCCATACAGATTTCTTTATGCAGAAACCTGAACTCTGACCTAGTTTAAAGTCAGATGAGGATCAGAAGAGACAACTCTGATTAAGGACGTATTGACCCAATGTGTTTTAGCACAAAGTAAACCAGGATGGCAAATCAGTTCCTGCTGAAATGTATGTTCCTGAAGTGACTTTCAACAGATGCATAAACATTTCCTGTTTTTATTTATTTTGATTGCAAAATGAAATTATGGAAGACTGTGTTTTTATAGTTTATCTTGTGTTCAGGTGATGTTCGGACAAATGTGCTTACAGCAATAACAGTCAAAATTATAAAGGGCATTTACTACTAAGGGTTTAAATTAAACAATTAAAGCATTGTGATAAGCTACGCTGTAGGCCTAACTATAGTTTTAGCAGGAGAACACGGCTCTCAAATACACTTTTAGGGGCCCATACTATCAACTAAACCAAAGGTATGTTTTAAGAATTTTTTTTTTTTTTCTGATTTAGCTGGGCCATGATGGCCTCATTGATTACCTCTGCTGCCATCATGTGGCTGGAGCATGTACAGTCAAACACCAAACCGGTTTTATTTATCTACTTTTTCACTTGTATAGGACCAAACTTGTCTGTAGATTTTCCCCATTACCTATGTTCAGAGCCAGTTTGCCTTACCTCTGTTTTGATTGTGTTGAAATGAGTTCTTCTAACTAAAACCAAATGATAATTTGATTTGAAACACAACAAGTGCCTTAACATTTCCATTCATGTCCTTGCTATATATTATAGGATACGTTTAACATAGGTTATTTTTTATAAGTATTTGAAAGCCATGAGAAGGAAAGGAAGCAGTAGGTACCTGACTTTTACATTGTACAACTTAAATAAAGACTTTCTTTGCACTGTACAACTTTGCTTGTTTATTTCCAGGTGAATGCATAAATAGACGCATTGGATTTTATTACTTTCAGTGATATACAGTAGGTGTCTGATTGTAATTCAATATTCATCTGTCGCTGACGCGCACCAACAGTCAAGGATAAATATCAATGTGTCATGTTGACCACATGGGGGTGCAATACCAGCAGCAGAAAGAAGACAACAAAACGACGAGAGAATACACAAGATGGAAATTGATATTTTAAGATATTGTGGCCACAACCCCGGAGATTTTGTACGGATCCTCTCCTAACCATTAGTCTAAACGTGCGGTTATCATGCCTTTATTTCCTCTGAATCGGCTCTAGGAATTAATGCATCGATTAATGTAATTTAGGAATGGTGATGAGGGCGATGCTCCGAAGAACTGCAAGGGCTATGGGTCTTCTTTTTCATAGGATGAAAATAAGGACGCATGCTTACAGACACACTTTGTCAAGGTAAGCATTCTGCAATCTTGTTAGGGAAGGTTTCTGTTTGCGTTTGCGTTTTAGCTCACTATTTGATGGTCCTGTTAGCTGGAAGTTAATGGTAGTTACAGTAGAACCTGTTGTCAATTTCTATAGTCATGAGAAGCCTGTGTAGGCCTGTAGACAACATTTGTTACAGTGTGTTAAATTGTAATATCATGAACTCATGTAATATCATTGTGTCTTTGTTTCAGACCATAACACTATCGTTTGATTATTAGCATTAAGGTAAGAAGACCCTCTGTATTTACTTATAACTGGGTTCAAATGATTCCACACCATCCGTGTTTATCTTCGTTACGCAGTAGGTTTGTGCACACGTCAGCAGAAGGGACGGCCTCCTCACCCCACCAGCTCCTCAGCCGGCCAACTGTAGGACTAATTGTTCTCCTACAAAGGACTGTACAGTCCATGTCTTTGGACCTCATTTCAATCATTTGTACTTATGTAAGTGATATCATACTGAAAAATTTTCTAACATAGTGATTCTATTAATAATTGTTTTATTGTTTGCTATTGCTCATAGAAAAGACAATGGAAGTTATTGTGACCTCTGCATTTCTCTGCCTTTGTGGTTGGACTGCTCTCTACTTTACCCTATGTAGGGTTAATAGGCTGCGAAGCTATGAATGGAATTGTCGTCTTGTGACACTGTTGCATGGCATCTCAGCAATATGCATCACCACTTTCATTGGCTATGTGGATGGACCGTGGCCGTTTGATAATCCAGGTAAGAGTCTTTCAGTTATTCTTTTAACAAATAACTTTGTCAGTGCCATTAAAGACTGTACATCAAACTTTACATATACTACCATATAAGCACTAACTGTTTTGCATAAATGTGTCATGTAAGGTATTTTATTGTGCCTCACCAATTTGTCTCTAGCACTTGGTACTGCATCATAGAGTGGTAGTTATAAGTTCCAATACTATTACATACACAACAAACTTGCAGTGTTAACTCCTAGTTTGTTTGTTTTTTGTCTTTTCTATCACAGGCAGCCTGAATACACCTCTACAGATAAGTGCCTTGGTGTTTAGCCTGGGTTATTTTATCTTCGATATGGCCTGGTGTGTCTACTTCCGCACAGAAGGTCCTGTTATGCTCGCCCATCACACTATGAGCATCCTGGGAATCCTATTGACACTGTGGTTGGGGGAGTCTGGCATTGAGGGCTGTGCAGTTCTCTTTGGTAGTGAAATCACAAACCCTCTTTTGCAGACACGCTGGTTTCTGAAACAAACTGGACACTACGATACCACACTTGGACACATTGTTGACATACTGTTTGTGCTCCTATTTGTTGTAATGCGTGTCTTTGTGGGGGGCACAATGCTGTATTGTGAACTGATCTCTCCAAGACCAAGATTCTTTATTAAGTGTGGGGGTGTGGCTATGTACGCTCTGTCTTGGATATTCGTGGTGGACATTGTTCGATTTGCCATAAGGAAGAGCAGCAAGTGGCACAGACAACAAAAAGATCATAAAACTCCAGCAGTAAATGGTATGAATGACAAAAAAGAGTAGGTCTAATAGAAAGTATAAGGATGTTGTTGTTTTTTTTTTGTTTTGGGTTTTTTTGTTTTTACAGGCTTTTAAAATAGTCTGCATGTCAAAGTTGAGCAGTTAACAAAAAATAAATATTGACAGTAAACAAAATATATAAATAACAGTGAAAGCCATATAAATACTGTTCAAAATAACATTTGTATTTGCACCAGTTTCCAGCTTTTTCAACATTTTAATAAAACTAATATATTATAGTTTAGATAATGGGCACATATCACTTTCTAATAATTGAGGTAGATATTGACTGGAAACTAAAGGTCAGTGCTCTCAGGTCTTGGCACATGGCACAGTGCCAAATGTATGTTTTTTGTTTGTTTAGTTTGTTTTTTGTTGTGTTTTTTTAAAATTATGATTATTATGTAGGGTTGTGTAAAACTACTCATGTTTGATAATGGTCTCAATGTGAAGCTATTTAAAAAACAATAATGCCTGGTCAGTTATAATATTTTATAAAATATTTTGTGGGTATATTTAATGTCTAGTTTTCGTTTGCTAATAGACTTTATCATAAAAACTGAAACGTGTTTACAATGTATTACTTAACACAATACTATGTTTTTCTATACGTGGTTGTGCCTTAAACAATGACTTAAACTGAGTCTTATCCTTGACTGACAACAAAGTTGCAATTACCATAATTGTCCACTTGGTGGTATCATCGTAACTCTTTGGTTAAACATCAAACGGCAAGTATCATATTTTACTGAGTTATGTTCAGATAGAGGCTAGCACCCCATGTTTTTCTAGATTTCACCATCAGGCAGGTATTTTATTGCTTATAAGTTTTGGTTTTAATGTGGTGTTGTGTTTCTCTTATGGATAAAGTGGCCAGTCTGCATCCTCTGGCACTGCGCATCTTTGTGTCTTACTGACGTCTAGTACTGATAGGGATTATATGGACTTGCTACTAAATTACAGATCTACTTTAACACAAAAGGTTTAAACAGACATCCTAAAAAGCTGAGTGAATGTATAAAGTTTATAACGGGACCCTGTAAGTCTGTTTCAAAGGCAAATTTGTCAGTAGTAGCGAAGGCCGTGTAAACTGGCCTGTAGTTACATATATAAAACATTTTGCCAGCTTCTTGGGGGCAGAAACGGGAGTTTTGTCCCATCTCCCGGCGGAAGTGGTCAGTGAGAGACGCGCTGTTGGATCCCACTGCTAGCTGGCTGGCTAGGGCGTTGCTAGCGGTAGAAAGCGGGTTTTGATGAGTCTCCGCTTGTTATCTACAAACTCAAACCGTGTAATGCGTCGGAAAAAATACTAGTTAGTGTTTGCTCAATCTTTTCTGTTCATTTGTGTTTTCTTTTGGATTTACGGAGGACTGTTGGTTACTTTTTGTCCCGTTAGCTGGCCACTGCTAGCCCGCTTTCCATCCACGGGAATTGTACCGAGAAACGACCAATTCTGGATGGAAACATGGAGTCAAGAAGTGCTGCGCTGTGCTAACTCTCTCCACTGGATTTGATTCTTCAAGACGGCTTTCTGAAGAAAACAACCGAGGTTTATTACCATCCACTTTACATCAATGTAGTGTTGGAATTATATTTTTGGTCATCGGCTGGCTCTTTGTTGTGAATGCGACTTTGCTTAGTTTGCACTCGAAACAAGAGCACACGAAGCAAAGTTTTTGCTGAAAGAGCTCATCTGTTTTGTTAGCTGCTGCTGGTGAGATTCAACGCCAGCCAGCCTGTGGTGACAAAATAGTTGTAAAAGACATAGTTTTCTTTTATTCGACCGTTTTTTTTTTTCTATTATCATTTTAACATCACCCACCGGTACATTTTGTTGATGTACTGTTAATTTGGTACACGACTCAAATACGGTTCGGAGCTGTGTTCTACTGGTCACGGGAGAGTCGTCCCCACGGACGGCTACAGGCAGACATTTCTGGGAACAGGGAATACCAATTCAGACTAGAGGAATTTTCAGCATCTTGAGACATCGTTTAGGCTCCAAAGACACTGAGCCGAGATGTACTAGTGGCCGAGGGGAGGACGCCACACGGCCAAGCTGTGTTACATGGGAATATTGATTGTTTACACTATATCACCGAGGACTGGGACGTGCATGAATCGGATTCATACAAGGAGTTCATAGATGCACCACAACTTGTGCCACCTGAAGCTGTGTATTTATTATTGTGGCTGTTGTGTTCAAAGCCGGATAATCGTTGTCAGTGGTGCTTATACGGCGAGCTCAAAACAGGCCCAAATTCATGCAAGAGCCTTGTTTACCTTCCGAGCTGCTTTCAGTATTTCACTGAACACATCGCTTGGTGGATTATATATAGTCAGTATTTCTACTTCAAGTATTTGGACGTGCCTTGCCACAGCACAGCAGTATTCTGCAGTCAATATATGCTCGACATTATCACATATCCTCACCTCCAAACGGATGCAACCGAAGGACGCACAAATACATCGCCTCAACACACTTGGAAAATGTTAATCGGATATAATTTACTGCAAATCTAGAACCGGAAGCCCAATGAGTGACACACAGTCCAGCTTCACTGACAGGTAACGTATGACAGCAGCCTTCTATTATACAACACACAGGTCCAACTTTGCCTGATCATGATGAACATGTTGTGTGTGTCTTGATCTAGACACTGTAGCGTTAAATATGATGACACCATGCAATGAGAACAGATTTTACATCTGCAGCACTATGCCCTGTGGATTTGCTTGGTCATAACTGTGTTATACATTGTAATTACCCAGCAGTAGAAGATCTGCATGGAAACAGGCCTGATGTCAGTGAGAGCAGACAGTAAAGTAGTAATTGTCCAGGGAATTGAGGAGGTCTGCTTCTGTTTGTGTAGCAGACAACAGTCATCTGTGAGCACAGAGCACATTTCAACAGCACTATTATTTCTAATCCTCTAACTTAAAATCTAACCTTACACTACACCTATTAAAACCATCTCTGGGTTAGACTTAAACCTTAAGTTAGTCAAGTAATCACCTTAACTAGACATCACACTCCTCTTCAGACCTAAATGTTTTCTGTGAATATTTTGAAGATAATTATGATTTTTATTGCATTATAATTTTAAGTATCATTCATAGGGATGTGTAAAAATATTCAAATATTGATATATTGTATTGTTTAATGTGATGATACAGTGTCGATATCGTGGGCTGCTATATTGATATAGAGTTTTTTGGTATATTTTACTAAATTATTTCCACTGCTACAATTTCTTTTTGCTTGTATCGTGGCCTTTGTATCAGTGCATATAGTATTGGCAACTTCTTAATTATATTCAGCCTTAATCATTCACTAGTTACATCAAGTCTTTTGTTGTGTTTTGTGGAAATAGACTGATATAATAGGTTGATATTTGCACTTAAACATTTTGGCTATTTGTCAAAAGCGGCAAAAGATATTTTGTATGGGACAAACGCTAAAGTAAAGGAAATACATAGCATGCTTATATGAACAGTTTAGAGCTATGCGGGCACAGCACTGTGTTATTACAGGGTTAGAATGAAACAAGGTTGTGGATGTCTAAAAGTTATATAGGTATTCATTTTGTATCTGCCCTACATTTGGGCCTCAGAATATCATTCATCTTGAGTGTTTTACACTGATTTGTGTCTGGCTGTCAGAAGTGATCGGTGACAGCAGCACTCGTCAGACCTTAACACCTGGATCCTTCATATCCATTGAGCAGACCTATAACAGGGACTGATGAACCCTTGCAGGACATAGGAATATGAAATATCTTTATGGCCAGGATTTAAGCTGGAGGCTACAGCCCCCCTCCCCCACAGCAGTGATGGCAGCAGTGACTGGCACCAGCTGCCATAGTGCTACTATTTATTATGTTTTTTTAGGTTAGTATTAGCACAACAAATGTGCAAGTCCATGCCATAAATAGTCCAAGGTTTATGTGGCCTTTTTCACCAGTCTTTCTTAAATGAAAATTGATATAAGCCCTTTGCCTTGGCATTTATATAAAGCACCTGTTTTATTGTGAAAGTATTATTTCTGAATGATGACTATAATTAGAAGTTCATAGAAGTAATAATGAATAAATCTGAGTTGCAGCAGTGGCTAAAATGTTTTCTATCCACTAGCTGATAAAAATCTGATACTGCATCCACAATCCCATGCTTCTTTTCCACTGCAGGTTGGACATAACTTTATTGATTGGAGCAGTGCATTTCTCTAAGGGAGTGTGTAATTCACTGCCATTAGTTGCCTTTGCTTTCAGAGTGTGTTTTGTTTTCAGGAGTATGTGAGTGTCCGGCAGCAGTCATGGGGTTGGGTCACCAGCCGCTGGGTCAGTTTAGTGTGCTGTTAGCGCTTTGTCCCACAGTTCTGCTGATGTCCACGTTTTTTCTCCCAACCCCAATAGCCCTCACCCCAAGCCCTCCCAGAGGCCCTCCCGGGAAGTTGTGCTCATGACATCACTAATAGTCCACAATAGCTTTCGGTGGGAGTAAACTGCCAGCTGTATCCTCTCATTTGGTCCGTCAGTTTGGTAAGACATATTGAAGGTGCTGCCTTCTTGGGTTAAGATGCATTCAAAACGATAGTACAGTATTTACATTAGAAATGTAAGCTGTCAATCACTGTAGCATTTTTAACGGTTGTAATTGAATCACCTGTGCTTAGTGCAGAAAAAAGCCTACATTGTCTTATCATTATCTCATTACATCTGCAGTCAAATGAGTTTCCATATGATAAATGTAGCCGTGAGTGCCTCTGACAGTTTGCCTTCTCTCTGTGCATCTCCTGCTTTTGGTGCCCTGAGAATACACTATACCCACCCTCCCTTTTACTCAGCATTGATAGGGAGAGCGCTGTACCAGCTACTGTTAAATGTCCCTTAAAAAACAAGTACACACATCATTAGTGCCCTGATAGAGAAGACTGATTTTAGTTTAAAGCCGTCACTCAGCATTGAACCATTATACAATATTATAATGGGATGCAGTACTATCATGATTCTAATATGATAATAATGGTATTTATGTTATATCATTTGAAGTCCCCATTACTTGGTTTTGAAAAGACTCCTTTATTAATGCCAGTCACATACAAAAATAAAACAATTTTCCAAAATGTCCATGCCATTTGAGTTTAGAGACTTTCTCTAAGAAATGTCTCAGTTGAGACTTTAGTTTAATGATTTGGCATGTGTAAAATATTCTGCTGCCCAACTCTGAGCATATGTTGGGAGAAGACATTAGGCAGCTGTAGTAGTAATAGACACATCCATTTGCTGAGTAAGAGATGACTCCAGGGTAGACATTCTGTCATTCAGTCGTCCTAACGATATACTGCGCTGTGCCTTGAGAGTCTTAATGCTGTGTAATCTGCCTGATCCTACGTCTATAGGAATCATGCAACATTTCCCAAAGGCACGCACTGCACAGGCATATACTCTCTAAATATGCTAAATTATTTCGAACCAAATACTAACCCCAGTTACACATGCCCACAGGCTCTCCTCTCTCTTGTAAAATCTGTCAGAGGAGTTTTTAGGTCACGCTTTGCACTTTTCAGTATAAATTCATCTTGTGGTGACTTTTGTATTCAGCACTTTTATTGGTCCTTCACATTTGAATAGATGTGAGGTCTTGCTGTATTTGGTGGGTTGTTTATTTCAGGATTATAAATGAAGAGCTGAGGGAGCCTTGCACCAACATGTGACTTTGTCAGGCACACACCAACTCCCCATGCTCACTGGTCAGCCCCTTCTCTGCACTCTGCATCACTAGAAGCTCCATTCAGTCTTTGGATTGGATGTTCTCGGCACCTCCCTCTATCTTGTTCTAATTACACCAGTATATGTAGGGCTGAGCGATATGGTGATAAAAATTGAAATGTGATCTGATCCCACTGACAATCTGCTTGTTTGGTGAAGTCACCATAACAGGACTCACAAATGTTCCGTTTATTGTTCCTCTATGCTCTTAAGAGACACCTATAGCCAATTACAGATCACTTTATTTACCAAGGCAGTAGTGAGTGTACATGGATTGTGAC